AGTCGAATTTGGTGTCGTTGGGTTCGTATTTCCGAGACGCTCAGTTTGACTGTAAATTTGCTGAAATCAGAGTTCATATGGTCTCCAATTTATTTTTTGAAGTTACCAACTTAATTTTTGCCTCGAGATTCGTGCCTGATCAATATATTTTTTAAATGATATATAAAGGAGAAATCTCTCAATAGAATCGACATATGAAAATGTCATGAATAACTTTCGCTCTCCTCCCTCTCTCTTCCTTCCTGTCATCTCCACCTCTCTTCCTTACATAGTAAGCCTTGATAAAAGGTAGTGGGAGAAATGGCTAGGATATTTATATTAAAATATTTTAAAAAAATACTATTACTAGCCTAATGTATTAAGGCCCATCTCTGCAATATTGTATGTTGAATACATAATTACTATCGAATAGGGACTTAAAATCCACAATGACATTTTCTAAGGTTGTTGAGCTCTCAAACTGGCTCCACATCGCTCACAAGCACACATTAAACATTCTATTTCAAATAAAAATTGATTTTTGTATCACTTTTCATATTTTCATGGTATTACAGAACTCTTGATTATTGTATATGAATTTTGAGGGATGAATATAAATTTACATTTTAATGTATAAAATATCAATTGCTTTCATTAAATTGATTTATGTTGATGAACTCATAGAATCTATAGTTGATTAATTAAGAGATTAAAATAGATAAATGCTATAAAATTTGATATTGGGGTGTTTCATTTATTAACCCAAAATGTAATGAAATGAATTTAAGTTATGAAAATATAATGTCTAGCGTAGCGATTTTGGTTGGTGAGTGGAACGACACTCTACCATCTTTACTATAATAACTTGGGATTAAGCTTGCAATGCTAGACATTGTGGTTTGTGGTGCTGTGGCATCCAACACTAAATGATATTTTTATATATGTTTAATATAAATATCCTCCAACCAAGCCATCCCTTCCCCCATTTTACTTGCCTTACCAAGACAGAAAGGAAGTGAGGGAGGAAGAGAAATAACACATAAGAGAGGATGCATGTTTTTTGGGCCTTTAAAAAAATATAATGTTCAATTTAAATAATGAAAATTTTAAAAATTTATCAAGTTTGCTTTTATTGAAATAATTATATTCATAATAGTTATATTTATATTTGTTACGTCCAGGAGTATTCGCGGCGGTAGAGAAATAAAAAGTTTATCATCTTAGCGTTGTACGAAAATCCGGCACGCAATTAGATAAGGAGAGAGGGTCTAGCATTTATGAGACACCAAGATTTTTACGTGGAAAACCCCTGAAAAAGGAGGAAAAACCACGGGGCCTAGCCCAGTTTGAATGAATCCACTAGTATTTATAGTCGATTATAAATGAGGCCCTTCCTTGGGAGAAGCTTGATGTACATCTTATAGAGTACATTACATGATGTAAATACAAAGAGTTCCTATCGACGTATTCGTTTTGTTGGAAGGACTGTAGTCGGCGTGCGACATAAATTAGGAGGACCGTAGTCGGCGGGCGATGGAGGTCGGAAAGACTGTAGTCGGCGGGCGACGTAAGTCAAAAGGACCGTAGTCGGCGGGCGACGGAGGTTAGAAAGACTGTAGTCAGCGGGCGACATAAGTCAAGAGGACCATAGTCGACGGGCGACGGATGTCGAAAAGATTGTAGTCGGCGGGCGACGGAAGTCAGGAGGACCGTAGTCGGCTGGCGATGGAGATCGGAAGGACTGTAGTTTGACGACGAAGATCAGAAGGACAACGTCAGGTAGAAGTCCAACAATGGAAATAAATGCATCTTCGCATAGACGTCCGACGAAATCTGATAATCGGTAGAAGTTCGACGTCGGTTAGAAACTTGGCGAAGAGTTAAGATCTGACATCGTGTAGGAGTCCGACGTCTGTTGGTGGCAGAGGAGTGCTCCGGCTTCACTTGAGCGGAGTTTCGGCGTCAGGAGGGAACTCTGTTGTAAATTGGGAAGAATTTCAGCATAACGTAGAAGTTGGGCAGAATTCATGCGTTCTCCCGAATATCACGCAGAATGCCGGCGTGTTTGGGAGGCAGGACAAACTTCGACAGTGATCGAGGAGGACAAGATTCTCCTTTTCCACTTTCTCCTCTTATTCTCTTCTTCTTTTCTCTCTTCACTTGAGTCTTCCGCTATTTGCGAGTGGAAAATTTCCCCTGCTCGAATTAGCGCCCCTCCACTCTTGCAGGAGTTACAGAATTTTTCTTCTCCTCCCCACGACTTTCTAACGGTTGAGGCTTCCACTATTTGCGAGTGGGAAATTTCCCCTGCTCGAATTAGCGCCCCTCCTCTCGTGCAGGAGTTACGGGATTTTTCTTCTCCTCCCCTCGGCTTTCTGACGGTTGAGGCTTCCGCTATTTGCGAGTGGAAAATTTCCCTTGGTCTAGCGCCCCTCCTCTCGTGCAGAAGTTTAGGGGATTTCTTCCGCCCCTCAGTTCTTCGAGAGATCTGTTGAACTGCTGAAATCCGTCGTCGGATAGAAATTCGGCGTCGGGCAGAAGACCGACGAAAGTCCATTGACGGACAGAAGTCCGACGTCCGGTGGAAGATCGACGAAAGTTCGTCGACAAGCAGAAGTCCGAGGACGAGTAGAAGTCCGCTGACGAGCAGAAGTCCGACGACAGGGAGAAGTCCGACGTCGGGTAGAAGACCGGAAAAAGTTCGTCGACGAGCAGAAGTCCAACGACGAGTAGGAGTCCGCTGACGAGCAGAAGTCCGACGACAGGGAGAAGTCCGACGTCGGGTAGAAGTTCAACGTCGGGTAGAAGACTGACGAAAGTTCATCAACGAGCAGAAGTCCGACGACGAGTAGAAGTCCGCCGACGAGCAGAAGTCCGACGATAGGGAGAAGTCCGACGTCAGGTAGAAGACCGATGAAAGTTCGTTGACGAGCAGATGTCTGACGACGAGTAGGAGTCCGCTGATGAGCAGAAGTCCGACGACAGGGAGAAGTCCGATGTCGGGTAGAAGTACAACGTCGGGTAGAAGACCGACAAAAATTCGTTGAAGAGTAGAAGTCCGACGACGAGTAGAATTTCGGCGTCACGTAGAAGTACAACGTCTGGTATTAGTCCGTTGAAAGTCCTGCAAGACAAAAATTCAGCGATATGAGGAAATTCAACATCAGGTAGAAATTTAATTTTGTGCAGAAGTCCGATGGAAGTCCATTGACGGCATTTTGGTGACGTTAACCAAGGATATATAATCTGTCCAAGGTTATTTGTCAGAGCATTTGCTCGATGATGTTAACAGATATTGTATCCAACAATGATGTAAGACCTATCCGAGGTTGTATGTCAGAGTCTTTGCCTGATGACGTCAACATATGTGGAAGAGATCGAGAGAATCCACCAAGGATGTAAGACCTATCCGAGGTTGTATGTCAGAGCATTTCTCTACCGCCGCGAATACTCCTGGACGCAACAATATTATAAGTTTTTTATGACATATAAATATTTTATATTTTATTTTTAATTCTGAGTGTTTTTTTAGTCTTTTAGGTAAAATGAGAAATGTTTTTAGAATAAATTTATTCCAATTTTTATATATATATATTTTTTTTAAAAATAAAAATATATAATATAATATGTAATAATTCCCCGTAGAAAAATATTTCCCAAATCATGTCATTAGTTTTTGAAGTTGTTTTGTAGCGGATACTTTATCCCGAGCGGCAAATCTTGTCTATCTGACGTTCCACGTGTCAAACGCACATGGTTCGACACGTGCGCAAGTGGACTTTACGCTTGGCGCCCTTCTGTCCACCGTTCGTTCAGGCAGTATAAGAAATATCTCTCCGCGATGCAAGATCCACCGCTAGTTTCCAAATGGGCCCAACTGTAACAAACCAAAGCCGGGACACTCGCATGCGCCGCGTGCCTTCGTCCGTTCTGCGCGTGTTCATCGGGTCACAAGCGCTGCATCTCCGCACCGAGGAAGAAGCGGAACGACCGTGCGGTCGCATAATAAATCTCATCCCCTATCGCAGCAGAGCAAAATTAAAAAAAAAAGATAATAATGATTAAAATAAATAAATTGTTTTTTAGGCACGCTTTTCTTACGCTGGCGGTAAGGGAAGGTGGCGAAGTGCGGTGCTTGTGTTTTACCGGTGTGGCGAGTGGGCCCATGCTGACGTCATAATTCGACTAGTGGGGACCACTGCTAACACCCGGCGAAGAAATTCTACCCAATCGGCTGCGTCCATGGTGGGCCACCCTTTTTCTAGAGTCCATCACGGCCGTTGGATTGGAGAGAAATGGACCGCTGATGCGCTTGGCAGTATCTGCCAGGTAGGCTCGGCATTCGTCGTGCTTCAGCTTCGGCTGTCCTGGCGCCACGTCAGCGTGGGATCGGACGAGGGAAAGCGCGTAAAGGGTGGCATCGTGAAATCAGGGCCGTCGAAGGCTACGTGTAGCCATCGCTGTGGGCCCCACTGATAGGGGAATAAAATAAGAGGAGGGAGAGAGAAGAAACGCACTGAAATGGGAAATGATGACTTGACTGGCCCCCGGCGCAATGAGAGATGGGTAACCGGCTATAGCCCGCGGCGGAGGACTCTACGATATGGACTTTATGTGGTTAAGCTCGGACACGCGAAGGTTATACCGCGATGCGTAGGAAGAAAGGAACTGCTATTATGGACACGTGGCGGTCAGTTAGGAAGGGTCAGAGTTGCGGAATTATATCTATGGACGGCTTGATTGTTCTCCACGGTGGCACCGCAGAGCTTACGCCGTTAGATTTGCTGCTGATCGGACGAACACCGGATAAAGTAGTGCGTGGAGGGTCGATCTGGGCCGTTGGTTCTTCCGTAGGAGTGGATTTGGCAAGTGATAAGCCGAAGGAGGGGAAAGATAAGGGCACACTGCGGAGAGGAAAGCGGAAGAAGGCGGAGAGGTGGAGGGGAAGAAGAGATAGAGGGAGTGGAAAAGAGGGTGAGATCTTTAGTCATAAATACGTAAATTCTTGGGCTTTCGCTGCGATCCGGTAGGTTGGTGAGGTTTGCAGTCGGAATTTTTGGCGAAATTTTACCGGCGATTGCGTGCTCGCAGATTTGTTGTTCAAGGCGGCGGAGTCGACTTTGGATAAGATAGAGCTCTTCGGGGTGTATCTTTTTGATGAGCGTTCATCTGAGTGATGGATAGGATTCGTGAGGCTAGAAGAGGATCCATGGCTGCGGTGAACGGGAGCTTGTCGAGAAGACGTCAGAGGAGTAGTAGCTTGCGAGATTCGCCTGGTTTGATTCATCACTTTGCTCATTTGGTTTCTGATTCAGTTGTTTTGGTGGCTTATTTTTTCTGATTTTATTGGGTCTGTCTCTTGTTTTCACTTTCTTGTCTTACAGAGGAAGATGGAGCGATAGAGATGCAGGAGACGTCGCGGCTTAGGGATCGAGGTGGAAAGAAAGATAGAGATCGTGACAGATCTGGTCGGAGTAAGAGGAGAAGGGGCGATAGGATGCTTCATGGGAGCCACAGAGAGGAAGGAGACGACAGCTCAGAGGAAAGTGTTGATGAGGATGATGAGGATGAGGAAGAGGACTCTTCGGTGGCCGTGCGTCTGCAGCCGCCTCCAGCTCAGAATCCAGTCCCAACAGCCTCTGGGATGCAAATCCACAATATCCGGAAAGGTTATCCGGTTAAACCGGTAAGACCGCCGGGGACTTGTACTTGGAAAGTAGCGGAAGAGATGATAGGAGCTCCCATACCGCGGAAAGCTCGGTCATGTATGATAATTGTGATAAGTTGGAATTTGCGGATATCACTAGTATTTTTTTTCCTTATTGGGTTTTTCTTCTATACATTTTTGTGAATCTTTTTCTTTGATTTGGTGCAGCATCTGTGAAAAGGTCACAAGAATGTTGGGTTTCAGGTGGGGGCGGTGGTTGCGGTGGCGGAGGAGATCAGGTTCCTTGTCAAGCATCGATGTCTCCGGCCAGACGGAGTCCTTCTTCCACTGCACCTGTTTCACCTTCCTCTTCTAATGTTTCAATCCGAAAGAAGATGGTATATGTTTTGCGATTTTTAGTTTCCCGGTGATTTTGGTCACTTGCTAGTTTATGTTCCTGTGATTAACCTAGCCCTTTTCTATTGCAGAAGCCGATTAGTGTACCGAAGCCTAGGCCACCGAAAACGTCGAAGTCTTCTTCCATCCAGGAGATTGAGATTGAGGTTGCAGAGGTCTTGTATGGAATGACGAGGCAAGTTCCTTCAAAGCCGGAAGATCACAGACACGATCCCAAGGAATCCAATGGATCCGGCAACGAAGTTAAATCTAGGTTATCTTCGCCAAATCCGATCTCTCCTCCTGCAACTTCTCAGCCTTCCACCGTGCGGCCTTCTAATCCGACCATCAACTCATTTCCGTTGACTGCCACTGGTTCGTATTGTGGTTCCATGTTGCTAAGGTTCGATGATGTCTTGGTGGTTTCTTCTAGTATCTTTGATAAAACTTCCCCTCCACTTCCTATGCAGCTCCAAAGAGGAAACGGCCTCGTATGAGGATTGAAGAGGAAAGCCCTACTAGTCCACCTAGCTCCATTGCTCTACCAGCAACATCCAGTTCTTCGGCGGCCAAGTTAGACACAGAAGTTGTGCTGCCGCCTGTTGGTACAAAAATCGATTCCGCTTCTCCTAGATCAGAGAAGAACTGTTCCCCCGCTATTGAAAACGGTGGTTTTTCCAGCGATCCTCCAGTTTCTAATGTCTCTTCAGCTATAGTTTTTGCTGCTAAGGTTCAACAAGATTCGGTAAAGGTAGAAAGTATCCCGGATCTAAAGGATGCAGATAGCCGGCCAGAGAAGAAGGCCAAGGAGGAGGTGTTCTCTCCGCCAAAAGATTCTCCTACTGCTAATTTGGATGCTAGCATTGAAGAAGCCCCTGCAAGCAAAGCGTGAGCTTTCCTGTCTTAACTTTTTTTACTTTTTTTTTGCTGGTAGTGCCTCCTTGAAGGGTTGGTTGGCTAATTGACGCTTACTTTCTATTTTGGAAATTTTTTTTCTCCACAGTTCTTTTATTTCTGATGCCCAACGAGAAGAGAAGTTTAGTATCGATTTGATGGTATGCATCATTCAGTACTTGGGTGGTTGTATTTTTTTTTTCTTGGAATCTTTCTTGATGAATATAATGATATTTGCTATGTTTACAGGCTCCTCCAGGGAAGTCATCTCCAGAGATAGAAAGCAACTCGGATACTGTTGCAGATTGCAAATCTGTGGAGATGGAGAATGTAAGCAAAGATGTTTAAATGAACACTTTAATGGAAGTATTTATTTTTCTCCCACTTTTGGCGATCTTATTCCATCTTTTTTGCTCAGGCAACGAAACCGGAGGTTGTTTCCAAAGCAGAAGTGGAAAAGATTGAGAAAAAGTCCAAGTCCGAAGCTGAGGAAATTGCTCTGGACGATAAAACTGGTGGAAAGCCATCAACAGAGGGCTCTGATTCCAGGAAGCAGGCGGGCAAGGAGAGGAATCTTGAATTGCAATTCGAGTTGGAGAAGCTTGACAAGGACGTTACCGGCGCCATTAAACACCAAATCCAAAAGCAGCAATCTAAAACTCCAAAAACTGAGCCTAGAACCGAGAAAGCGGGTAAAAAATTTTCCATCGCTGTAGTTTTTTTTTTTTTTTTTTTTTTTTTTGTGCTTTTGGTTTTTTTTTTTTTTTTCATTTTTGTGCTTTTGGGTGGGTAGATCTCTATCTCATGGGCGGCATCTTTCCCAGGTCCGACGGCATCTTTGCCCATGCCAATGCAGATCACAGGTTGGCCTGGTGGTTTACCTCCTTTTGGGTACGCTCTCCATGGATTTTTCCTGTTTTTCCGGTCTTCTTTTTGGGGCCAGTTTGTTTTTTTTTTAACCCCACAAAATTTTTACCGACTAGACTGGCCTAGCTCAGAAGTTAATTTCTGAATTCTGCTGCTCCGCCTGTCAGTGTCAGTGGTTGTAATTTCATGCAACAAGTGGGGCCATATTTTATTTATTTATGTCATCGTCATCAGCAGATAAGTATTTCTCTTATTTTTATTTATATGTTTCTTGTTGTTAGGTTTCTGGGTCAAGTTCCTCCTCTACCACCTATTGTTCCCGTGGATGGGACCTCAAGTTCTTCCAAGCAGGTATCTTTTTACTCTTCCTTGTCAATTAATGGTTAAAAAGTAGTAAAAAATTCAATTTTTTTTTTCTGTTTCGCAGAGTTTCCTTCCTTCACAACTCCGGCCAAAGCGTTGTGCAGCTCACTGCTATATTGCACAAAACATACATTGTCATCAGCAGATTACAAGATTAAATCCATTTTGGCCTCCAGCAGCTGCTCCAGGGCCTTTGTATGCTTCAAAGCAATATAATCTCAATACTGCACCGCCTTCCGATGCAGCAGCAGCCATTCTCGGTAGTCCATTGCAAGGGAGCCTCCCTGGGAGGAGCTTGGGTTCTGTACAAGAGAAAGGTTTACCAGCATCCGCTGCACATCCTGTTCTCTCTGTAAAGGATAAGAGTGCTGCAGCAACTCAATTCATGGATGTTTCGCAGAGGAAGCCGCCCTCACTGCCGCAGTCCTCACAGCCCGGAGCAGCCGGCAACATGCTTGTAAGATACTAACTAAAATTGTATTCTTCCTCACTATCGTATTATTTTTAATTTCTTATATTTATCTTGGGTTCATCACAGGCTCCTGCTTTTATTTTCCCTCTCAATCAACAGCCGGCTGCCGCTGGGGCTGCTGCCGCTACCAGTAGATCTGGGGTTGCAAAGTTGGCACCAGGCTCTGGCAACACAGCTCAATCATCCAGCAGTGCAGGTTATGCGGCGGTGGGGGCTTCTGGAGCTAATGGATCAGGGACTTCCATGAGTTTCAACTACCCTGGTTTGCCACCAAACGAAGCTCAATATCTTGCTTTTCTGCAAAACAGTGCCTATTCATTTCCTATTCCAGCACATGTTGGCGGAGCTCAACCTTACAGAGGGGCAAGCCCTGCTCAAGCCATGCCATTTTTCAATTTGTCATTTTACCCTTCCCAGATGCTTCACCCTTCCCAGCTCCGTTTACAACAGCCGCCACCATCGTCGCAGCAGCCTCCATATTCCCAGCAGGGACATCAGAATCCAAGTACGTCCAGTGGCTCATCTTCATCTCAGAAGAATACCCAGCAATCCCAGAGAGTTCCTGCGGCTGCTGCTAGTGCCATTACTGCAGGGAATTCTCATGGCTTTCCTTCTTCCAAGCAGCAGCACCTTTCTCATTCTCATCAGGTTCGGCAATTGGAGCCTGAACCGGGAGGCGAGGATGCCCCATCCACAGCTGATAGCAGGGTTTCTCAAGCCCAGAAGAACATTTACACGCAGAAATTTGCCATGCCCGCTCATTCCCAAAACTTTGCTTTGATTGCTCCCGCAGCTGCTGCAGCATTGAGCGGTGTTGGAAATCATAGCGAGAAGCAGCAGCAGCAGCAGCAATCACAAAACCAGGTTATGAAGGTTGATCTCACTCCATCTCAAGCCTTTGCAATGTCCTTTGCGTCCTTTGGCGGGGCTGCTGCTTCGGCTGCAGCTGGTGGAGCTGCTACCCTTGGTCTCGATTTCTCAACAATGGCGCAGAACCATGCTATTTTCCAAAGTCTTCCAGAAACAGTACGTCACGGTTACCAGGTCTCTGCAGCAGCGGCTGCTGCAACCCATTCAACCCAGCAGCAGCAGCAGCAGCATCAGAACAAAAAAACTGAAGATGGGAAATCTGCTTCTGATTTGGGGAATGGCAGCACAGTTGGCGAGGAGGTGAAGATCTCATCTGCGAGCAAGGTATTGGGAAATGTCCAGCAACATCCTCTCGCTTTTACTCGGGCAGACACAGACTCTTCAATTTCTTCCATTCTTACCAATAGTGTGATTGATAGTTCTTCCCGAACCTTGAATCTTATCCAGCCACCACCTAGTGGTGTTGCTCGTCTCTCAGGCCGGCCAACAAGCGCTGCACCACCGGCATCCAATTCCGCTGCAAACTCTTCAAATTCTCAGCATCTTCTTTCCCAGCAGCAGGTTCTTCAGCTTCCAAAGCAGCATCAACAAATCCAGTTGCAGCAGCAACAGCTTCAGAGAGCAAAGACAGCCTCTTCTCACAGCAATGCTAGCCTGTACACTGACCGCTTGCCTGGAAACTCTACTGCATTAAAGTTCCCTCAAGGTCTTGCTGGCTTCCCTCCAGCTCTCATACAAAGCGGCGCTTCTTCGCAGGCTGCCCAATGGAAGCCCTCGGCCAGAGCAGCAAATCCTGCTTCTGCCGCTGCTCTTGCTGTGGCAACTCCCTCGGCATCACCATCTGCTAAGAATAATCAGATCCCTCTGCAGCAGCAAGTGCGGAGCCAGCAACCACCAACCACCCATCAAACTCACCAGATCTCTTTCAGCGTTAGCCCTGCTGCCAAGGTCGGAGGGCAATCAGGTCAGCACCTTGCCGCAGCAGGAAACAACTCCGCCGCTTCATTATCATCCGCGGCTGCGGCGGCCACAATCGCTGTTGGATCTCCTCAAAATTCAGTTTCCAAAAGCTCCAGTAGCAGTCCTCATTCTTCCACCATTGCAAAATCCGCACCACCTCCTTCTCCTGTCCTACCTGTGCTGCCTTTCCAGAAGCAACAATCAGGTAAGAACTCCTCATCAAGCTCCACCATTTCTCCATTGCCTGCAACCAATCGGAACATGCCTTCCATCCTCGGCACCCCCCATATCACCACCGCACAGAACTTGGGCTCTAAGCCACAGCCCTCCTCTCAGCACCTTCAGCAGTCCCAGATGCCCAAGCAGCATTCACCACAAGCTCAACTATTCTACTCCTACCCTTACATGCAATCTCAAGCCTCCCAGTCTGATGCTGCAGCGGCCGCTGCCGGCTACTTCCAGCAACACCATCGTCGCCAATCCGACCAGCAGAGGCAGAACTCCACCCCTTCTTCCACAGGCATGCTCTCTCTCGGGCCTTCTTCATCCCTATCACTCTCCGCGGCAACAGACCCATCCAAGGTAGGCGGAGCAGCCAATTCCGGCAATTCCAAGAATCTAATGCCGGCAAGCCTGTTGCAGCACCCAGGTCAATTCGCCACCATCTCACAACCTGCCAACGGTGCCAATGCAGCTTCAGCCCCTCCTCTAATGTACATCCACGCAATGCAATCCGTCCCCTTGAAGCCCGATGTATCCGCTTCCGCCGAACACAAACCTGCCGCCGGAAGGTAGCTCTGCTATCCTAAATTCCAGCTTCAGATTCCATTACTGAAGCCCGAGAAAGGGCAGGGAAAGCCGCCCTTTGCATCCAAGCGCCGCACGTGATAGTCTCCGAGGGTTAAAAATTTTCCTTTTTTCCACGAGAGGAGAGCAGGTGGCAGATGTGAAAAGGACGCGGAGAGCCATGGTTTCCTTCCCACGACGCCAAATCCCCATCAAATTAAATTTCTATTGGTTTTGATTTGAGAAGGGTTGGGAGAGAAGGTTGCGCACGGAAAACCAGAGAGCGCGCGGATGTGTATGTATTGTAAAGGGAAATATAGTTGATAAAAAAACTGTTTTTTTTTTTGTATTTTGTTTTTGGCCTTTCCTGCGAGCGAGTGGTCAAATTCTGGCAGTTTCGGACGCCGACTCCGCCATTTCTTTTTCCAGTTTTTCTCTTCTCCTTTTGAAAACTCATATGCTGAAGCAAAAAATATGGCGCTCACTTTAGCTATTTTGCTCTCATTACTTATTTTTGAAACCCTCCTGTCAAGCTGAATGAAAGTGAATTTTTTTTTATTTTTTTTGCCTCGTTTTTTTATCTATAATTGATTGATGAAATTCAAAGTTGTTCGTTCTAAAGTACTTCGTTATAGGATTAATTATTCTGTGCGGATGTCGGACGGACCATCCGTAAGTCAATTGGAGTGCTCCACATCATCTTTCCGCTCGGTACCGCTGCTCGCATTTTGTATTCGGTCTCCGCACGAAATATGTATAATTTGTGAAATTTTGTTTAGAAGCAATAATTCTAGATTAGTGATGGGTGGGGCCCATATGGGGGAGGTGGGGTCCACTTAATTGGCTAGTTAATTTAAAAAAAAAAAAAATCTTTTAATTTTATCTAAACAAAAAAAATGATATTTTTAGTTTCAAGAAAAAAGTAAAATAAATAAAGTTGAATTAAAATTAGTTTTTATCATTTAAAAAATATTGTAATGTTATTTAAAAAAATAAAAAAAGACCATTAATTAAAAGTACGTAGGTGAATTCCCAACTTTACCCTTGAACTAATAAAAAAATTTCAGGGTACCCTATTGGCCCTCTCCTGTCGGCCATTATTCCAATATAGGCTTTGTGCTCCCATTATTGCCATTTTGAACTGCCCATCAAATTAGTAGTCTCTGTAAGCTATGTCTATAATAATCAAAATTTAATTATAATAATAAATTTTCACAACAAAATTTTAATTTGATCATTATTTAATTTTAACTTTTTGAAAATTTTTATACTAAAAAATTATTTTTTACAATAACTTTTAAAAAATATTTTCTTTATAATAATTAAAAAATAAAAATAAAAAGCTATCGAAAAGAACTATCAATCCATCTACTTCAGTAAAGAAAGTTGGGACAAATTTTATTATTATTATTTTAATTCATTTAAATTTAATAATAATAATAATAATAAAACATTTTTTTATGGGGAAAGGAAAAATAATAAGTGGCAGTCGTCGTCGAGCAGTACGACCGTGGTGACTTTGCTTCAGCCATGGCGGAAACTGCGAAGAAACGAGAAGACAGCGAAAATGCTCCACTACTACCAGGAGAATCCAGCAAGGCCTCTTCAGCATCGGAACCGTCGAGCTCCGGCGGCCCGGCTACGGCCTTCGCCTTTTGGTTTTACTTCACCGTAGCCGTGTCTCTGGTCACTGTGCTGTTCATTTCACTCCCTCGGATCGAGCGTACGGATGATGTATCCTGGTTCCTTACCCTTCCGGATGGCCTCCGTAGTCACTACTCAACAGGGAAGTTCATTAAGGTTAACCCTGCAGGCGGTGGCGAGCAGATGCAGGTCTTCGCTGTGGAGCTCGGCAAGAAGGATGCTGAGACGGTGCTTCTGGTCCACGGTCTAGGGTGCAGCTCCTACTCCTTCAGACGGGTCCTCCGCTCGCTCGCCGCCGTCGGACTCCGGGCCGTCGCCGTTGATATGCCGGGCTCCGGCTTCTCTGATGAGATTAGTTTGGTGAATAATGCTAAATGGGGAGGTCCGTTTGGATGTATCTGTAGCGTATTTGGAGAGATTAAGGAGAAAGGCATCTTTTGGGGTTTCGATCAGCTAATCGAAACCGGCGAGATTCAAGAAAGCCCGACTAGGGTTTCCTCCAGTGAGGAATTGGAATATGGGCCTGCGGAGATGGGCTTGATTTTAGGGCAGGTGATCAATTCGATGTCGTTGGCGCCGGTCCATCTCGTGCTCCATGATTCGGCATTGATCGCCGGAACGAATTGGGTGTCGGCGAACGCGGGATTAGTGAGCAGCCTGACGCTTATAGATGCCTCCCCTAAGTCAGCGGCGTTTCCTTCTCCTCTTTTAAGATTACCAGTCTTGGGTCATCTTCTTCTGGGTTCGAAGACAGTGTTTGCTGGGTTGCTTAGATTGTGCTGCGCTAGATCTGTCGATGCAGTGGATGCTGAGGCTTACAGGCTTGTTTTGAAGCGGAAGAATCGGAGTATTTCGGTTTTGGCGGCCTGGAGAGCTTTGAACCATAGTCTTGATGTGGGTGAATGGGCTAATTCTGAGGAGTTAAAAGGATTGCCTATCCAAGTGCTGTGGTCCAATAGCTTGTCGGATCAATGGATTGACGAGGGTCGGAGAGTTACTGCATCCATTCCCCATGCAAAGTTCACTTTCCACTTTGGTGGTCGATGGCCTCAGGTGATTTATTTTGATAGCTACCGTTTTAGATGTAGTTGTTATGCATTTCTCTAGATGGTAGAACCGAATACCTGTTGCAGGTGCTTTTTTTACTATCTGATTTTTTTTTTTTTTGGAAGTTTACTATCTGATATTTATGAGCTTTATGCTTGCTGATTCTGGCATTCCGACACTGGATTTAATGTGCAGAATTAGATTTTGGCCACAAATTGTCTGGCTTAGTTTTTACTGAATTTTTTGTAAGATTTTACTAGAATTAGATTTTTTTCGTAGCATTTTAATGTGTATAATGTGTAATTACTCAGGATTCAAACCGAATTAAGATCAAGATCAAGAAGGATATTGAGGGAGAAAAAAAGGGGATTAAATCTAATTTTCTAGCTATATCATTTTGTTAAGGTTGCAAAACTATTGGACGTAGAAATTTTCTTTAAAATTGTTTTAATCATTATAAATAATTTTCTTTTGGAAAAACAGTTGCCACACTCTACTAGAACTTATTATCGAAAAACCGTAGCCAAACGAAAAAGTGGTAGATATTTGTCTTAAGGCAAAGCAATGAAAAAACCGCCCCAAACATACCTCATCTTCCTAATCATAGTAGAGTTTGAGAATGGGAAGAGAGGAGAGATTGAATATATATGAGAGGGATAAAAGAGTGATTCCATGCAGGCTAGGAACTTACTACTTTTCGCAAGGGAACTAAGTAGGCTAGGTGCCTACTTAGATACATTTGGACACGTATTTAGCTCACAAGTTTACTCAAAGGATGTTGGCTTAGGAATAATTCCTTTTAACTCCTTGACTCCTTGTCACTCAACATCACTGTTCTATGTTTCCGTCGTTATTTTAAAGCTCATCAAATCAAAGTTGACACAAGTAGGCTACTTCATCAAATGCTTCAAGAGCCTAAACTTTCTGGAAGACTTATAAAGTGGTCTATTTAATTTTGTGAATAAAAAATTGAAATGGTGCAGAGAATTGCAACTAAAGCACAAATCCTAGTTGATTTTGTTGTTGAATTGTCTTCACTATCAATAGTGCCTAGTCAATCTAAATCCTCTAAACTTGATCTTCCTTGGATTCTTCAAACTGACAGTGCTTTTGGTGAAAATAGAAGCGGAGGAGGTACTATCCTAAAAAGTCCTCAAGGTCTAACTCTTTAGTGTGCCATTCATTTTAACTTTTAACAAATAACCAAGCTTAATAGGAGGCTATGTCACCGTGGTGGCTAGTCTTCAACTTGCTAATGTAATTAAGAATAAAACATTTAAATGCTTATTTTGACTTAACTCATAACGAATTAGATCCTGAGGAATTGTGAAATGTATACCCTATACTCAATTGTTACTTTATTAAAGTTATAGCCAAGATAACATAAGTGATTAAATTCAAGGTGAATAACATTCTCAAAGAAGAGACCACACAAACAACTTATTTACAAAATAAGGTAATTCGCATGTAACAATTGTTTGCAAATAACCATGAATGTCAGCAGCAAATCACGTTGTTCATCCGTGAATGGCATCTTTAAGGTGTATTCAAATTTAAATTTCTCAAGACATATCTTACCCTTGATTGTCTTCTTCGGCATCTTGCCCTTCCGAAGAAGTCTCACGGTGGAACTATCTAAAATGTAGTAGCATGTTTGAATTCAAACCGTATCCATTTCAATGAGTGCCCTTATGTAAGCTTCGTATCAAAGAAATTTCCAGTGTGCTTGGTAAGGGCTACTTCCTTTAGATCATTTTGCCCACACCAAAGCTCAAAATTGCAATTATCCTAGGTTTCTCTATTGCCATATAAATCTTGGTCAAATCAAATGAAACTAGAACTTCCTCTTTTATAACCCAAAGTGAGAGTCATGCCTCATTTCTTTATGGATATTTCAACTTTTCTTCACTCAACTTGATGAAAATTGTGGTAAATCCAAAGATGAATTATCGCTTAATTTTAGCATTCATGGTTTTATTTGCTCAATTGGCCTCCTAGCAACTATCTTGATCATGACATCTCAACTTTCAAATACATAACTTATTCAATTTACGAATGCCAAAGTACTCTATTATGTTCAAACTAGAATTCTTCTTAAAATCAGAATTGTTTCGAAGTAATTTATTCTTACAATTTTTCATTATATATGACTATTCGAGTTTCTCATTTTAAAAGTGGTAGATATTGGCGTTCTCATTTTTAGACATTAGTCATATAGTAATTATTTTCACTATCTTTATATCTTTAGTATTAAACACTTCCTATATTTCTCTAGTTTATTTTCTCTCATTTATGCTTTATGACTAATAGGAAGCTTTTTTGAATACCTTAAAAATGTCACAAATCTAGGATCTCCAAAGTTCTAAGCTCTTATAGCCATCAAACATCCCAATCTCAAACTTATGGTCTAGTGCCAAATTATTAGTATGAACATATAACTCTAATGCTGAAAAATCTTTCGGAATGAAGTTCGACGAACCGTAAAGAAACACATGAAATCAAACAATATAGAGAAGTCAAGATTTATATTTTTCAACTTTAAATAAAGCTTATACAGAGTAAAAAGATGATTTGATCTACTAAGCAAGAAAGCTTGAATATTATAAAATATAATTTATGCTTATCTGTCCTTCCAAAAGTCTTAACTTATAGTCAACTCTCAATAAAGACGCTCAAGTATCTTTACAGGTTTAGTATGTCAATTTCACCTAGAGTTGAGCATATTCCATATTGAAGTCTCCACAACTTTCATTGAAATTTTCTTTTCTTTAGATGTTTTTCTGTTGTAAAATTGCTTCATTTTTGCCTGTCTTGTCTGTTCTGGTGGATTTAGGAAGATGCGGCTGAAGATATTAGTGGGATGATTGCAGAGTTTGTGTCCTCAATACCAAAATCAATTAAACGGATTGAGGGAGATACAGTACCAGATCACATGCAGAAAATGTTTGAAGAAGCAAGCCATCAAGATCGCCATCATCATCATCATCATCACCATGGCCATGACCAGGACTATGGACTGGGTTACATGGAAATGTATGGCCTTGGCCATGGATGGTGAGTTTGAATTCTACTGCTGACATTGGATCTTTTGGTGACTTTCAAAGAAACAAGGGTAAGGTATGAAACGAGTGAATCCACTTAATGCTTCGTTTGGGTGGCTTTTTTACTGCTTCTTAAAATAACTTTTTAGTACAAAAGTTGAAATTTTTGTACTCGAAAGCTGCTTTAAGAAGCAGCAAAAAAGCCATCCCAAATGAAGCCTAAGTTTTGTTTGGATCGAAGAAAAATAAAGTTTTACGTGTCAGTTGTATTCAATGAATATCATATAACTCACTATGTGGTCTTCAATGCCAGATTCTTAGCAGGCCAAATACAAAAGCCTGGTGCTAGAGGTAGCTTTCTTCTTGGATTGCATGGGTATTTTTGTGGAGCTCAAGGTAGCGGCGAGTGTAATCTTTTCTGGTTAGCTTTCTTCATACTCTCTTAGGCTTCATTTGAGACGGCTTTCTTGCTGCTTCTTAAAGTAGATTTCTAGCACAAAAATTAGAAAGCTGCTTTAAAAAGCATCAACATAGCTGTCCCAAAAGAAGCCTTATTTTCTTTTTCATTTGGGACTATTTTCTTGCTGCTTCTTAAAGTAACTTTCTAGCACAAAAATTATATAGCTGCTTTAAGAAGCATTAAGATAGCTGTCCCAAATGAATCCTTATTTTTTTTTTCGATGGCTTGCAGTCATTGGACATTGACATAAAGTCGATCGTATATTGTGTTTAAAAGCTCTTTTAATGCCAGTTGCTGAGTTTCTTAAGTTAATCTGAAGCAATTTTTGGATATTTAGTTTCTATTATAGATAGAAGCTATCTAGAAATGGAGAAGAAAAGAGAGAAACCTCGCTAAGCTCTAATGACTCTAGCCCACCCAATCCTTTATTGAAAGCTTTTGTGCCAGCTTTCCCACACAGATGAACTCAGCAACTGCGCATAGAAATAAGCTTCATTTAAGCTTTGTTTTCAAAGAATTCATTGTGTTCTGCCATTAGTGGCATCCTTTATATCCATTTTCAAATGAAACTACTGTTACTTTTCTCATGCACCTGTAGGGTTTTAAATTTCTTTGTTTCTTCTTCAGATTTACTGTTTCAGGTTGTTTTCTTCACCTGGACTCCATTAATTACCGATCTCTTTAGCCATGTGCCTTTGTCTAATTTACTAAGCTTTTTTGCTTTTCAGTTTTCTGTTATATTTAGTTTGCTGGACTGGATTGATTACCCATTATTTGGCCTGCCTGCTACTTTATTACTTGAACAACAGGAAGTCATTAAGTAAGCTATTTAATGCTAATGCAATAGACTTTTTTTTTTTCTAGTGGAAAGCCTATTCTCTCTTAGAAATTGGCATTCATAGTAGGTATTAATGATTGATTGATACCATCTATTTAATATAACTTTCTATTACATAATTGTCATATAATGAAATGGAATCATATCTTGAAAAGCTGCGGAAAGCTAAGGGTGCAAGTGAGCCAAGACAGTTCGTGAGCCATCTACTAGTTAATGAGTTCGTGATTCAAACTTACTGAGTCACCAGTTCGAATTTGTGCTCATATATTATATGAGATTGAGCTCAAGCTTGGCCCAGCTTGACTCGTCAACTTATTGAGCCGGTTTGATTAATATTAATGAAAACATCAATATTTATATTAGTTTAATTAATTATTTGCTGTCCAAATTTAAAATAAGAAATCAAGATTCAAAATGAGCCAATCTCCTGCCTTCTTATGGAGTTTGAGCATTCAAATCGAACTTGAGCCTCATATTTTCACTCGAGTTGAGCTCAAGCTCAACATAAAAGCTCAAGTTGAAGTCAAGCTCAGGTCAAATTAAACGAGCTCTTGACTCGACTCAATTTCACTCTTATATGAAACTTCCTTTTACTTTTTGTGCGAACTTTATTATGTGAACTTTTTTATATTATATATTGTTGCGTACTAGAATATATGCGGCGGTAGAGTTAAGAAATTTTCGTCTCAGCATTGTACGAATATTTAGTACACAAACAGAGGAGAAATAACACCAGAATTTTTGCGTAGAAATTCTGAAAGGGAAAAAACCACGGGGCCACACCCAGTTGAAAATAATTCCACTAGTATTTGTTTGAATTACAAAAAGGTTGACTCGTCCACAAAAGTTATGACGATCAGTTTACAATGAATCTCTTTTGAATTGAGATTCAGTTACAAAGTTGAGCAGAGTTCCGGCGTCCCCCGGGTGTCCGGCAAAATTCCGACGTTACTCAGGCGGCGGGAAGAACTCTGACGGTGGTCGAGGAGGAGTTATTCCCGGCTATCCTTCTCTTCTCTTCTTCTTGCTTGGGGTCCCTCTTATGAGAAATGAGGGGTCTATTTATAATTTTTCTGGAGTGGCATAGCTCGTAAATAGATGTGAGATCAGGGACAAATAGGGAGTGGCCGAATGGACGGCTGATATTGAATCCTTTGATCGTGCACCGTTCGTCAGACATTTGAAGGTCTTAGTCGGAATTCGGCGATCTTGGGCAATTGAGTTGAATTTGGTGTCGTTGGGTTCGTATTTCCGAGATGCTCAATTTGATTATAAGCTCGTTGAAATCGGAGTTCGGGTGCTCCCGGATTTAATTTTTGAAGTTTTCCGGTTCGATTTTGCCTCAAGATTCGTGCTCGATCAAGATAATTTTTTGAGAATATATATATATATATATATAAGTAAAGTTGAAATCCACTTAATAAATTATTATTTAAAACTATTGTCGTGATTCTTTAATTTTTAGATGTACTAAGCTTATTATTATATGAGGTAATATTTAATAGGTGACTTAAATATAATAAATCTTATATTATTATTTAAATTGTGAGGTAGATTTAAAATATGACATATAGATTGAAAGGGACAACCATTAATTATTTTCATTATTTTTTCTTTTATCTTATTTTCTTTGTATTTCTGCCTGACAGTTTGTTTGTTGCAGGCATGTAAGGGTATTAAAAGAAGTTTTATTTTGAGTAAATTTAAGCTTTTTTTATTGTTTTCTACAGTAATATTTTAGCATAAAAATTTCTTGAAAGTCTCGAAAAAAGTAATGGACTAAAGCTGTTCTGAAAACAAGACTTAGGTTTCGTTTGTGACGGCTTTTTTGCCGCTTTTTAAAATTATTTTTTAGTATAAAAATTAAAAATTTGAAACTAAAAAGTTGCTTCAAGAAGCAGCAAGAAAGTCGTCCCAAACGAAGCCTTAGTTCTCCTTTCGGTAGAAACTATAGAAGTTGAACTCGTAGCTATTTGGGTTTATCATTAGTCGATTCGCTTGGTCGACTCCATGGACTTAATATATGGAGCTAAACCTATAACTAACTTGCTAGATTTCAGTGATATATAAATTTAGTGCGCTTAATGGTTCATGCGAACTTCGAGTTCATATCGACACGTATATACACTAAATCAAACCATTTCATCTTGAAATAATATTGATCTCAAGTAGAATTAAGAACCATACATTTATTTCAGATTTTGAGTTGATATTAACGTTTTGTTTGGGATGACTTTCTTACTGCTTCAAAATTAAAATATTTTGTGCTAGAAAGCTGTTTTAGAAAGCTATTAAAAAAAATTAACGGTTTCATATAAGACAGATTTCTTGTTGTTTAAAATAGTTTTTTAACACAAAAATATTAATTATTTATAAAAAATTTGTTTTAAAAATAATAAAATAAAAAAGCCGTCCCAAATAAAGCCTAAATTTGATTTAATTGAAATTTATTGTTGAATGGGTAATTAAAATACGAGCCAACAACCCACCAAAGCATTTATTATACTGTTTTATTATTCAAATTTGCAGCATAAATTATACAATTTTATATAGCTCGTAATTATAATATCTAATAAAGAATGGAAATCTGTCCCTTTCAGCCAAATACTAAGGTTCCGAGCACTGAATATGAGTACTAAAGCCTTCAAGAAAATTTATGGGAGCTATCAACTCAGTAGCAAAAGTAACATTATATTGAAGAGTAATGGCAGCTGGATGATGCTGTAATCACTAAATGCACAGTTTTTAAAGCTGCGTTTCAATGCAGGTGAGAATGTGAAGATATATATAATATAATATTTAAATACATCATTATAATTAATTTATAATTTTGTAAGTTTTTCTTTTAAGTGGTGAGGATATAAATGTAATTTTATTAATTGTTAGTAGTTTTGAGCTTAGGTTGATGATAGAGGGAGACAAAGTTCCTCAACCACTCGACTATCGCTCGTTCATGTTTATGTTTTAGGGTTTAGGGTTTAGCTCATCAATTTGATTTTAAACATAATATTGTGCTTCGTTCGTTTTCAAGAGTTTATTTGTCTTGTAGTTGTCGGTGTCGCTGGACTTATTGATGTCGACGTGGTTAGTCTTTTTTGCGACAATTGGGTTGTTTTGAATATTATTTTTTGTTAATTGGTTGGATTATTTGTTAGCACTGTCGTTGTGATGTCCCAATTCCTATATGAGAAAAGTAGAGTGTTGTGTTAAGTAGTCGACAGACAGCGTAAAATTTGTCGAATAATCATGACATGAAAAATACCCCATGTAGTGGGACAAAGGCTTGATGTTATTATTGTTGTTGTTGTTGGATTATTTGTGTGGCCGTTTGTAGTCGGTGGAATCATGTCGTAGCTATGATCAATCATCTATTTTTTATTATCATCATTACTCATACATAATTCTAATGAGAGATTAAAGGTTGGTTTGGGACAGCTTTAGACCAATGTATTTTCTTTGCTTTGAAGAGATTTTTGTACGAAAAATCAGCTTTACAAAGCAATAAGAAAGCCGTTCCAAACTAAGCATAAGAATTAATTTAATATTAAAAAGCATTCATAAAATTCACATCTAGGTATTCTTGGAAAGATTAATATTGAGAATAAAAAATAATTTTTTGCATTTCATGCTCATATAAAAAATTGATAGGTTTTGAATATTTGCAATTAAAAAATAATTAATTATGATATAAATAATAATATATTTTGATCAGTTAAAACAAGACAATTATTGTTATCATTTTAAAAAAAGACAATTTTTGCATTTCATGCTCATATAATAATTTTTTATCAATTAAGTACATATCAACCTTTTTTAATACAATTATTGATGTGCCATTTTAAATATTAAATTCTTAATAATATATTATTCTATAATATCTTATGATAATATGTGAGTTAGCAAAAGAGTTAAAATTATTTGTAGTGTGACAATTAGTCATAATCATAAAGACAAGATTTATGCACCATTATAATTAGGATAATTTTAAATGCAATATCTTAAATTATTTTACTTATTAAAATAACATTCATATGCTTTGAATTATGATAATATGATCTAAATTTAATTAGTTTTTATAAAATCATCTATTTTTGTTTTTAATATTTTATTAAACTCCTGATAATTTGACTATTTCACATACAAATATATTATTTAATTTAGATATTTGGATATAATTTTACTAAACAATATAATTTTGGGTAACAATTATGAATTATAAAATTATTTTAAATTAATTTATTGTTATGATTACTTTTTTTTTTATTATGCATTATAAAATTAGCAAGACAATATGATTCTTATTTATTTATCTTATTATATTGCTTTACATTATAATTAATTTTCAATAAATATAGAAAATTAACATACTTCAAACATTTAATTTTATAGTTAGTTTTAAGTTAATTTGATAATAAAGAATTAATCATATTTTATCCATTAAATAAATTCATTATTTTTCTAAAATTTAATGAAAATGTTTTATGATTTAATTTATTATTTTTTAAAAATATTTAAGAATAAAAATTGTCTCATGATATCTTAATATATTTTTTATTCATGTGTCTTTAATTTAACATATATTGCGTTCTTTTTAATACAATTAAATTAATAGATAATCTAATTAAATTATTTGATAAATATAACTAAGAGATCATTAGACTAATTATTATACAATTGCAAGCTAATAATTATAAAATATATTAAGAATATCTAATAATTTAATTTATTATCTCATTGTTTAAATAAACTTATTCAACAAATTAATTAATTATATAATATTTTAATTATATTAAAAATAATATAAAAATTTTGAAACTAATGACACATGATAAAAATTATCATAATAAAAATTTAATAAAATATATTTTAATTAAAAAATGCATCATATTAAAAAAAATCTCAGATGTATTTTATATCAAGATATTATAATAAATTTTTAAAATTTAATAAAATATAATTTTAGTTTAGTACCATTTAATTAGGATGATTTATTGCCTTTAGCCGGCCACACTATATTTTCTCTGCTGAAACCCTAGCATCCGCCGCCGCGGTGGTCTCTCCAATGAACGCTTACTTCTCGGATCTCGGAGCGAGCGATCTCCTCCGCTCGATCCTCGAGCTGTTATCACCGGCGGACCTCGCGCGTGCGGCGTGCGTCTGCAGGCTATGGAGGGAGTTGGCTTCTGATCGGGAGCTTGTGGAGCTAGCTTTCAGGAAGCCGTGGAAGGTGCAGCGGGTGCTAGGTTCGCCGTCTTCTACTGGATTCTGGCGCTACACAGGCCTTGACCGCTTCGCCATCTCCCACTGCCTTGTCCGTGGAGACACCGTCGCCGGACTCGCCGTCAAGTATTCAGTCCAGGTAGTGTTTGCCGCTCATTAACAAATTCTCGTTTTCTAATTGAACTTTGGATTGTGTGGATTTCGAATTGCGTGGATTGGTTACATTAAATCTGGGTGAGGAGATGGTGGAGAAATTTGAGTGGGGTGGATTTAGGGATGGATTTTGATAGGGGAAATTGAATGGGCAGTGATCTATGGATTTTGAAGCTTTTCGGTCTTATGAAATTGACATAGTTCCACGGAAATCTTGAAGAAGATTTGAAAATGGATGGAAAAAAGGATTTCATTAGGATGAAAGCAAATTTATATTATATGGTGGGAGAGTTACTCACCCAAAATCATGGGAATTCGGTCACCCAACCAACTTATATGGCCCAATTAAAGAGAATGGTCTTGTGGTGAAGGCTACATAGTGCTTGGTTGTTTTAATACATTTTCATTTCATTTATGCTAATGATTCTAGTGATGCTGAATTATTTGGTAATCTCAGTGGTCAGTTTTCATGGTTAATGGGGGGAAACTTATAAGTAACTGTTGGTGTTACCTCGAATTTGGCTCGAACATTCGCTATAAAAAAATGGGTCAATTGCGAACAAACAATAGAGACAAAAAGAAAAAGACCGCTAAAGATGATTAATCATTCAATTTCTACAAAATGTATGTTGAAGTTGCCTTGAATTTGGCTCAACCCCTATTTGTTCATATCATTGATCATCGTACGCTTCGCAGATATGTCGGAGATCCAAGGGGTCAGTGTCCCCTGCTGGGGTTCGACCTGCCTGATTAGGTCATGGGGTCAAGGGCTGCCCCCGAAAAAATTTTTGGTTGTAAGAATATTTTTCGGAATTCAAATTAATAAATAAAATGATGAATTCTCTTCACTATTTCTCTTTGTATTTGATTCATCGTTCTCTAACAATTACACTTATATACAATGTGTTTAATTATGCTAGGGACAATTGCCTAAAGACCATAGCATTTTAAAATGTTTTTGGGGTGCAATTGCCTAAAAAGTAAAAACCCTTGTAATAAAGACTAAAAAATAGATGGAGGTATAAATTACCTAAAAAATTATATAATAAAAAATTTTTAATTTATTTAGGGGGTGCAATTGCGCTCCCCTGAGCTTGAGGAGGATCCGGCCATGCATGTGAGCCTCCACCTTGTGTAAGGTAAGGAGTTTAACACACATTAATTGTCTTAAAAAAATAAAAATAAAAATAAAAGCATATAACCATATCTATTTATACTTATTCTTTTGGTCATATTGTAGTTTTTTCTTCCTGCAGTACCGTTAGTTTGGATGATTGATATGCAGGATTTGTTTTTTTTTTTGTGTTGTAGTTTTAGCTAGATTTGATCTTTTTTTCCCCTTCCATTCCATGGTGATAATGGTTTCCGATTGATATATAGTGTTTTTTTTTTCCTTTTTATTCTGCTGCATATATATTACCTTTTTGGTTAGTTTTCCATCAGTTAATCCCGTTGTCAATTGAAGTTTCAAGTTAAGAGTTTTGGAGGATGTCTACTGAAAATGGAATTCCAAGGTTCCAAGAATTTTTTTCATGTTCTTCTATTTAGTTATTCATGCTGTTATTTAGTCATTGGATACAGGAGGAGACAAAACTCCATGTCAAAAGGAAAAAAACCAGTTTTTATTCTTTACATTACTGAACCAATTTACAAGCTGTAGCTTGTGTCTTCTTAACATTTGCTGTGCATGGCAGGTTGCTCTTCCGTGACTGGTAAGTCATCTTATACAGCATGTTCTAATTAAACATTGTTTCTATAATTTTGTTATGGTTAAAATCGGATTTTTTGGTTCTTGAAACTTGTAATATATAGCTTTTCAGTTGAATGAGGATAGGAAGTTTTATCATAACATCCTCCATAATCTGGATAAGTGAACCGATGTCCTTGCTTATATATTTCACCCTTCTATGTATAACACAACATCAAGCAACATTCTAAGATCAACCATGAAGGATTGCTTCTAACATTTTGCCTTTATGGAAATAGTAGAGAAATCATATATATACCTTTTGTGAAGATGTAATTGCAGACGCTAATGGAAGAGCTAAAAAGCTAAACAAGCTAAAAAATAAAATTGGATCAAGGATATTTTGCATTGATGGTGTGGTAACATAAAACGGCGGCCTTCCGATGATCTGGTTAGGAAAGTAGAGGTTTTAGATTTGATTTATGTTAAGAAAAGTAGAGGTAGATCTAAAAAGATTTGGTTAGAAAATATTAGAAATGATCTTTTTTTATTAGAGTTAAACAAGAATTTGACTTAACATGACACAATGGAGAAAAAGGATTCATGTAGCCGACCCCAGGCGTTGTAACAAAGGCTTGATGTTGTTAAAAAAAAAAATAAAAATAAAAAATAAATAAATAAATAAAAGGCTTGATGTTGTCCTTATTGTTGTAAGGATGCTATGTAAGAATGAGAATCTAGAGCCATAACAAGTAATGATGAATAAGATACAATTTTTAGAATAAAACCTAATTATACTAATTTGATTAACTTATATTTTCAATAATAAAATTAACTAAAGAATCTGCATTAGCAATGTCGCATCAAACAATATTTGTAGAAGACGTCTTAGAATAGATCGATTAAATAAACTCCTATATATGCTGAAGTAGACTCAGGCTTCGTTTGGGACGACTTTCTTATTGCTTCTTAAAGCAGCTTTTTAGTTTAAAATTTTTAATTTTTGAACTAAAAAGTTACTTTACGAAATAATAAGAAAGTCGTTCCAAACGAAGCCTCAGATGCAATGAAAGCTATGATTAATGATTGAAGAATACTCACTAAGATTGAAATAAAAACTAAACTTTAAGCAATATATTGTACAGCAGAATCTCCATTTCAAAGTATACAAAGATTTTATTCCATTTCCATGTTCTAACATTCCGAGGCTTCTTCATATATAGGTGATTGAGATAAAACGTCTGAACAATATGATGAGCGAGCATGGAATACATTCAAGAGAGAGGCTTCTGATCCCCATAAGTGATCCAGAACTTCTTCATAACAGTACCTGCTTCATCGAATTAGATGATCATGCTAAGAGAGAAGTTGCAGTGCTCTATCTAGAAGGAAACCCTAATGGAATATCAGTTCTTCCTGCTCAAAGAGGAAGTAGGAAACTTATTGATTCACTGAAACGAAGCTTGCAGGTTGATGATGGTACTGCTGCATACTATTTGTCCATTTCTAATGGCGATCCCCGGAATGCCATTCGGCGGTTCGCTGAGGATCTCAGGTGGGAGCAACAGGGAGGAAGAAACTAGAAACTGGTAACATATATATAATTGATGCAGCTCATCTTGGTTATGTTGGGCGGACACTGGACGGCGTCTAGAGATCAATCAGAATGCGCCACGTCACTTTTTTGCTCGGTACCGCTCGGTATTGGGTGACGTGGCGCGTTCTGATTGGTCTCCGGACTGTCCGGTGTCCGCACAAAATAATCTCTTCAATCAAGGGGTTTTGGGTTCGAATCTTACGTATGTGATCTGTATTTAAATTTGTCTTAATTAACCTAAATAAATATGTATAACTGTAAGTATAGATGTATTTAATGTATAGAATATTTTCTATGAGATTCTGATCACAACCAAGTCCTTTATACAATTATTACAGTATTACCTCATCAGGAATGTAGGTTGTAGAAAAAGAGGGATTTACATAATTACCAAATAGTTATATATCGAATATTTAAATCTTTAGATTTATTTATAGAACCTTTTGATCTCTAAATGGCAAAACATATGATTAATATTAAATAAGTTAAAATAAAATAAGTACATAAATTGTGTCATATCTGTAAATATATAAAAAGTGGTATTTGTGTAAATTTTCTAAAAAATTATGACTGCAAATTACGATTAATTATTTTTGTGCGGGTGCTAAATATCGTCTGAAAATCAATCAGATGCGTTGCATCATTCTCTCAAATTATTGGCTTCAAAACCTGATTTTCTAGCATTCATTCTCAAGCAACAGTTTATGCTATTAACCCCTGAACTCTTTGAATGGTCCTGTCTTGATATGAAGTTTTAGGGCTTCAATTTAATAAGGTTGAAGTTTTAAAATATTCAGATGGTTGGAAAGGAGTTCCTGTAGGAGAAGCCAATATTCATTAAATTTTTTAGAGTGCTTAAATGTCTGCATATCAATTATCTACTGCTGGGTTTACTTGACCGGAAGTAGATGAAAATGATTTTTTTTTAATAATTTTATATTTGTTTTTTTTTTTCTAATATATTTAATAAACATTTTTATTAATTTTAACTATAAATAAATGTTGATTAGTTTCTCATCAATCAAGCATATTAAAGTAAGGAAATATCTTTGCATGCATTTTCAAATCAACTAAACAGCAAATAAATTTTAATTATTTATTGAGGCTTACTGTTTTCCTTAGAAGTTTGCTGTTACTCATTAGCACAACCCAATCTTCGCAGCAATTTCAAAGGTAACATTAATGGAAAAATACCTTTCAGTTCTAGACCACAAAGGAAAAATTATTATGTGTCATGTTCACGTCCAAAGATCAATTCAGTCGTGTCGTGTCATCCAATGCATAATACCAATTCGGACGCATTATGTCATCCAATGAACAGTGCTAATTTGGATGCGCCAAGTCATCCAATACAATGTCAATTCGGATGTCATCCAATACACAATACATTTGTTGGAAGGGCTGCAAATGAACCGAGCGGAGCCGAGTATGTGAGTGTTCATTTAATATCAGCTTGTTCAAGTTTGGTTCATGTTTGTTCGAGCTTTATTATTTGTGTTCATGCCTGGTTCATTTAAATTAATGAGTGTTCGTGCTCAGTTTATGTTCAGTTCATGTTCGTTCGTTTAGTGCTTATCGAGCTTGTTCACGAACATATTTAACGATTTTTTTTTACTATCAAACAAATACGTTCATGAACATATCTATAAACAAACACATTTATAATAAAAGCAATTGTCTATATAACAAAGACAATTATTATTTATATTTATTAAATTTATAATCAAATATTAATTATTTTTATCTAGCTTATTCATGAGTTCAAATTCGAACATGAATCAAGCTTTTATTGAGCTTAATGTCGAGCTTGTTCATGAACTTCAAATGATGTTGTTCGCGAACATAAATGAGTCGAACGCATAGTGTTTAAGTTTGTTTATTTAAGAATCGGGTATTTAAAATATTGTTCAAGCTTGTTTGTTTAGCTAATTAAACGATCACAAACGAGCTTTAATCGAACCAAATAACAAGTAGCTCCTCGAACGTTTGGTTCGCTTGCAGCCCTATTTGTTGGCATGAGTCCAAATTGGTCTATGGATACGTTCGAGCTCCGCACAAAATAATCTATCCACAAATTTAAAAAGCTTGAATTCCTTGAGAAATTTTTTATATATGTCAGACCTCTCTCCACATCTCTCCAGCAACTCCCCAGTAAGGAAACTTGACATTTTTATTAGAATATCATAGCTAAAAAAATACCATGATAGAATTTAAAACTATTAAATATGCTTTGAGATGAATGTAATATAAAAATAATATCCAATAATGCTCATCTGATAAAAAAAAAATTGATCAAAATTAAGAGGGGATATGGCATACCAAAATCTACTACGATAAAGCATTAAGTGAAGTATTTCCAATATCTTTTTTCCTTTTCAATATTCATCAATTATAGAATTCGCCAGCAACATCATTAAGCATGCAGGGCTTTTCTAATACAATGGTCCACAAAGTAATATACTAATATTAATATATTATCCTTTTCTTATTACGTTGAAACAATGAAAGGTCAGATCATACTCAAGAATAAGATTAGCACCAGAAAGGAATTAGAGGCCTTTCCTCTCGAGCAGCGGCACAAATAATCCTCTGCTCGCTGCCACAAACACCACCACCTATGCTACACAATGTGCAAAGTTTAGCTGCAGGAAAGCTAAGGCGACGGCTTTTTTACTGCTTCTTAAAGCGATTTTCTAGTACAAAAATTTTAACTTTTGTACTAAAAAGCTGTTAGTTAGAAAGCCGTTACAAACGAAGTCTAACATCTCGAGAAGAGAAATTTCATTAATAATGCAGAAGCTAACCTTGTTTTGGACGGGGAAGCAGTGAGAAATAATCAGCTGTTATTGCTTTTAGATTCAGAATTGCAACTGGAATGGATTGATGCAGAAAACTTCTTAAACTGCAACTCTTGTTGTTGTTTGAGATATCTCTGTGCGGTATCTGTGACTATTTTCACAAAGAAGTTCATCAGCATTAGCCATATCACAGCGTTCCAGACAGTGGTGAATGATAGGTTCCACGGTTTTGCCTGAAAGCAACAAGGGATAGGTAACGTCAAGACGTTATTGCGGTGAGATATTCGGATTAAAACTTTAAGAAACTGTGATAGGAGTACATGAATGATTTAGGCTTCATTTAAGACGACTTTCTTACTACTTTGCACTAAAAATCTGCTTTAAGAAGCAGTAAGAAAGCTGCACAAACGAAACGTTAGTTTCAACTTGTAAAAGCTGTTTAAGAATAGCCGATTAGGATGGCGATATTGTATGGATTCGGAGTGTTGGGTAATAAAAAAATCTTTGAATTTTAAGTTGAGCATAACAAAAATGAGTAGAGTAAGAAGGATGTGTGACAGCTAAGAAAGTAAGAATGATAGATTTAGAAAGTGATTATATTAGACAAACAGTTGAAGTGCATCTATTGAAGATAACTAATTGAAAGTTGATTCAAGTGATTTAACATTGTAATGAAGGCAAAAAATGCATCTATCATAAAAGGAAAATTAGTGTCAAAGGATTGGAAAAGTTGCATAAGACAAAAGGTTGAAGAGACATATATTGAAGATAAATTAACCGAAAATAGATTCACGTTTCCACATAAGCAAGTCATGATCGGCTGAAATAATGAGTAAATAACTTGTAAAAACCTAAATATGAGCACAGGTAATACAGATGCATTGCAGCATTGACCTTGAGGAACTCATACCTTTCCTTGCGGAAGATCTGCAGAAGGAACTGGAGCTGACAAATATTTCTTTTGAATCATGTTCAATTTCGTGACAATGGCGGGAAGAATAGAAGATAAAACAGGAACTGGACTGAACAACCAAATGAACTCATTCTCCACCCATTCTAACAGTTGATTATTACAAAGGGAGATGATGAAGAAGGTCTGCACCAAGGTAAGAAAAACAGAGGCAAATTAAGCACAGTTTGCAATCAAAAGTTAAATTCTAAGTTTTAAAATTCTTAGTCACATTCCCTAGCTCTCTCTCTCTCTCTCTCTCTCTCTCTCTATATATATATATATATATATATATATATATATATATCGGAAGATTCTTAGATGATTCAATCATGGCCTTGCATAACTCCCCGCCAAATCTGATCTAACCTAACCCAAATAGAATCAAACCAAAATTTTCAATATTCACGATTTGAAAAAAAAAAAAAAACCTATGTAAACCAACTGAATTAGCCAAATGAAATGATTTAGGATCAACTTATTCTTTATATACAGCACTTAGTAACCTGATATAGCTGACCAACAAATCATGTGTTCAAGTACAAGGGTTTCTACTGAGGTTCTTCTTATCAAACAAGAGAGCCGATTTATGGCTAACAATAGTTTCTGGTATGGCTCTATATGCACATATAAGAAAGGGTTGGATGGAAGGGGTGAATAGGCAAATGTCTCAAGAAACATCACATACGTCAAATCTAAAAATCTATCGAAAAATAATAGTTATAGGAAAGCAAATAATTTACCTGTATGTGGGTCTTGAAAATTGCCTTCCCAAACAAAGTCGCAAGAAAAAACTTCCAGAAGGTAACTCCAAATTGCCCACACATTATTCCAGCAAGATCAAATAAAGGGTTTGGCACCTAAAAGCGCAGAGAAAGTTGCAAGAAAAAAAAATACTATAAGCAAGATAAGCCTTCATTAATTTGAACAAAGAAGTGAGAGATGCAACGATTTTCACAACTAGTAGTAATATTTTAATACATTTTCAAAATGTTGTCAGGATTGCAAGCCTATATGCCTCCATTCTCCTCCTTGATTAGATAGTTTAATTCTAAGCCCCAGTAATAGAAAATACCAATACTCAAATTGCTCTTCCATCATATGGAAGGTGATAGGACAGCGCATCAAAGTGATGACCAGCTCTTTTGTTGTACCATTAAGGATCAAACAACTAAGCCCCGTTGTTTTAAATCGAATAAATGACCAAAATGGTGCCTAAATTTTTTAGTTGCATCCATTTTTGTCTGATATGTTTTTATATATTAAATTAGTCCCCCAACTTACCAAACTTAAAACCATTTTGGTTCTATTGCTTGTAATTTTTTGATGAAAATTGATAGATGAAAGCTTTCCATGAGAGCATTTTAAAATTTTTAGGAGTCAATCATATCAGTTTGAGTTGCCATTAAACAGTAAGACTAACCCTAAAATATTTAAAATTCTCTAGAGAAAGATTCCTTCCGTCAATTTTTGGTCAAAAGAATGACCAAGTTGATTTTAGGACAAATTCATTCATAGTTAGTGAGTTCGGAAATAAAATGAACATAACTAAGAAACTAAGAATCATTTTAATCATTTATCTATTTTAAATATAATGTTGACTTTTGAGATAACTCCACGGAGTTTTGCAGGAAATTACAACAACAGCAACAACAACATCAAGCCTTTATCCCACTACGTGGGGTCGGCTATATGAATCCTTTTTCTCCATTGTGTCCTATTAAAAGTCAAATTCTCGTTTAAATCTAATAAAGAAAGGTCATTCCTAATATTTTCTAACCAAGTCTTTTTAGGTCTACCCCTACCTTTCTTAACATAAGTCAAATCTAATACCTCTACTCTCCTAACCGGTCATCGCAAGGCCGCCGTTTTATGTGACCAAACCATCTAAGGCGACTTTCTCTAATCTTATCTTCTACTGGAGCTACTCCAACCTTTTCAAAATTACAAATAACTAAAAAGAAGTCACGATAGATCAAACCTCTATTAGTTGCTAAACTCTTTGGTCTAGTGAACGATCTACACAACTATGTCACCTAAAACCTTAATATATTAGTTGGAAAATTGTCAGGAATTTCTAATACATTTTTTATTTTAAGAGTGTAACACTAATAATAAGACATAGGAGGGCATTTGATATAAAATATAATACATTATAACTACAAGATAATTATTCTCTGGTACAAACACTCAAAACTCTTTTTTTTTTTTTTTTTTTTTGTGCTAGGATAAAACTTCATTGTTTGGTATCTCTGATCAAATGTCCTTATATTTTTTTCATTTGTTTTGCACTCCTATAATGTAAAAGATGCAACAGCGATTCCATATAAGATTTTTTTTCTAGTTGCAAGGTAGAAAATCTGTTGCTTTAAAACATAATTTTTTTCCTGCATGTCTATCTTTCCTCTGAGCAGCTATATTAAATTGTTGTTTCGCTTAAGCCCATAAATTTAAATTCTCAACTCTTTTAACATTAAAATCTCAATTTTCTCTGCTTTCCAAGAGAGAACCATTCCAACAAGTTGGTTATCTAATCCTCTATAGGATATACTTCACACATTCTCTCGTGATCAAATATTATTATCCACCAAACTTATTTTATCTTATTTATGTCTTCATTGCATGGTCCACAACACTTAAACATCTTAGTATACTGCTAGATAACTTACACTGTAATCACCATGAAATTCCCTTTCCAAAAGCCACCCTTAATGAACCATTTCAAATAAACCATCCTACTTTAATCCTAAGTTACGATATTTAAACTTACAGCCTACCCTAATTGAACCAAGCATTTTACAACATGAACAGCGTACACTATGTATGACCATTTGAATCTACGAAGTTTTTATATCAAGTGAGCCGCTCAAAATTAGAAATATGAAAAACCAACAATACTATGATCGAGAGCACCAACAGTAGAAAATTTCCATAAAAAATCAATGGTTGGAAGTTGCAAAAAATTACTAGCAAAATATTTGTCCAAAATATTTTAAGTAGAAAAACATGTTTCCAATGAAAGATGCTTCGGGATTTTCTTCAAACATATTTCCAACAGAATGCTATTGTGGAAACTATTTATCAATTTTCAACTGCAGCTTTCTTTTGATAAAATTTTGTAGGTAGAGCAAAAAAATAATATCTTAAATAAAAGAACATTAAATTTTCTAACTAAACCCACATCATTTTAACACCTTAATAATTGCATCTGTTGTGCTTATATCACACTTTAGCTCTCCATCCTAGCCCTAATTCTCCTCCAATCACTCTGAATCACTATCTCACTATTACCACATCTCAGACTCACACTTCCACATGGCCACCATCACCATATATCATTTGCTTGCCGCCACCGCTGCATCTCCCTCCTCACAATCATCACATCTCTTACTCTCACCACCTTCAATGTTTCTCTCCCATCCCGCCGCCCTCGCAATCTTATCCCTCATTACTAATGCTCTCTCTCTCTCTCTCTCTCTCTCTCTCTCTCTCTCTCTCTCTCTCTCTATGATCATATTGGAAAACATTATAAACTTACTTTATAATTTGTAGGAAACTCTCTGGAGATTCTGTAACTTCATTGGCTTCCTCTACTTGAAGGTTGAAGATTTTGTTTGCATGTTGTAAAATATGAAGTTGTATTTTGTTCATTAAGAAGCATTTCAACGGGTTCATTGTAAAGATGAGATGTAAAGCTAAGAGAAGGAAGGGTCAAAGTGTCCATATATAGCTTATATGATTGTTTGATTGAAATCATTCATTTTGATCTTAACAAATTTTGGAAAACTGTGTTAATTTTTTAATGTTTTAACATCATTAAATCATTTGTTAAGAATTATGGTTTTGTTTGTGATGTCTTTCTTACTGCTTCTTAAGGTAGCTTTAATTCTAGTACAAAAATTAAAAATTTTATACCAGAAAGCTATTTTAAGAAGCAATAAGAAAATCGTCCCAAATGAAGCATAAGTTGCAAGATGTTATGAAACGAAGTTAGAGAATGACCAATATGATGAATTAGTTATGGCTAAAGTGCTTGGAAATAAATTGAGTTTTTTGTTTGAAGAAGAAAGAAGTAATGCAAGGAGATTAAAAGATTGTTTGACCTTTTTTCTCTGGTCATCCTAAGAGTTGAGGAAGTCTAATGTATATATATATATATGTATTACATTCTCTACTCTAAGCTCCACCAATGGAAATCGATCTCAAAAGAAGTGTGTTATGGGATGCCTACGTACAAATGGTTCTCTTAGAACTTTATTGATAGTCATTGGATTGTGGAGTGGAATCCATCAATATTTGTGATTTTGATCAAGTATTTTCTAATACTTGATGGAGTTGTATCCAACCATTAGGTGTTATTATTGCTGCAATATAAGAACAAATTTCATTTAATTAATTCTTCTTGGTTCATATAATTATAATCCCAACTTCATAATTCTATGGTGCCGAAATAGATGGCAATAACAAATTTGTGTTGATGCATATCACACATAATCCTATTTTTAATATG